TCTAGGCCAACCACATTTCACTTACAGCAGGCTGTGGCTCCCTTCGTTCACCCTTTTTTACGGTTGCTCGAGTTGATCTTGTACAACCAATTCAATACATACCTACGCGTGTTTACCTGCATCTCGTGACCAACCCTCGAGGCAACATTCCTTACCTTTGATAACGATTCCCTGGTCTGGATAGGTAATAGGTCGCGCAAATATCTTCCACTTTATTCTAGATTTATGATCTAGCTGGTTACCTTTATTTACGATAAGAAATCCCATCATGTCTGGACAACAAGGTGGGCAAGGGGCTCAGGCCGCAGGTGAAGGGCAAGCAACAGGATGGACCCCGGATATGGAGAACGAATCCCTTTCAAACTACCTGCTGATAATCTGCGGTGCTGTGTCGATTGGTCTCATAACATGGCGCATCACGACTGGATTGACGAGATACATCCGTACCGTTACGAATTTGTCGAACGATACCCAGCGATATTTCGTGAAGCCGTCGGCGAGGTTCTCCTGGATCAAGAAGAACTTGCTGTACTCTCCACTCTTCAGCAAACGGCATAACCGAGAATTTCAGTTAAGCAGTGCCATCAATGTCGGCACTCTCCCCACGCGATTCCAGTTCCTGTTCCTGGTCGCATACTTCGCCACCAATGTCGCCTTCTGTGTTATCAACATCCCCTTTGCCGACAGCTTCGCCGATGCCTGCAAGCAATTGAGAAACCGAAGTGGAACCTTGGCTACCGTCAACATGATTCCTCTAGTCATGATGGCTGGCAGAAATAACCCTTTGATCGGTCTACTCGGCATGTCCTTCGATACGTTCAACTTGATGCATCGCTGGTTCGGGCGTATTGTTGTGCTGGAGGCCGTATGCCACACCTTTGCTTTCCTGGCTGCATCTGCGTCAACAGCGGGATGGGCTGCCGCTTTCAACACTATCGTCACTGTGCCGTTCCTACTCTATGGATTCATCGTGAGTTTCCCTCCACTTCTCAAATAGACGTCTTCCCTAACGCAATTCAGGCCGCTTGCGCTTTTGTTGCCATCTCCTTCCAAGCTGCCAGCATCGCTAGACACGCCTACTACGAGACCTTCAAGATCATGCACATCTTGCTCGCTGCGTTGGCGATTGCTGGCCTTTGGTACCACCTTAAGCTGGAGGACCTGGAGCAAATCAAATGGTTATTCGTAGTCGTCCCTATCTGGGCTGGCGACAGACTCGTCCGGCTCGGGCGCGTTGCCTACCACAACTTCGGCAAAGGAGGAACGAAGACCCTCATCGAGGCGCTCCCTGGAAACGCAGTCCGAATCACAGTGACTATGGCTCGGCCTTGGACTTTCCGTCCCGGTCAGCACGCCTACTTGTACCTGCCTGCCCTTAGTTTCTGGCAATCCCACCCATTCTCCCTGGCCTGGAGCGAGGAAGCTGAAGAGCTCACGGCAGATAAGTTGGCTATGAACCGACAGGATGTCCTCGCTATGCGCAAGACCACCATGTCATTCGTCGTTCGAGGACGATCCGGCATGACCCATACTCTGTATCAGAGAGCCGCGGCACGCCCTGATGGTCGACTAATGACAACCTGCCTTGTTGAAGGTCCCTATGGTGGAGAACATTCGATGCATTCCTATGGCACCGTGATGCTTTTTGCTGGAGGTGTCGGTGTCACCCACGCAGTTCCTCATGTACGAGACCTGGTTACAGGTTTCGCGAACGGCACGGTAGCTACGAGGAAGATAGTTCTCGTGTGGATCATCCAGAGTCCGGAACATCTCGAATGGATCCGACCTTGGATGACGGAGATCCTGGCCATGGACAAACGACGCGATGTGCTGCGCATTATGCTATTCGTCAGCCGACCACGTTCTACCAAGGAAATCCACAGTCCTTCATCGACGGTACAGATGTTCCCTGGTCGACCCAACATCGAAACACTGATCGGAATGGAAACGGAGTCGCAGGTCGGCACCATGGGTGTATCGGTCTGTGGACCTGGTGCGCTCAGTGACGAGGTACGGCAGGCGGTGCGCCGCAAGCAATACGACACGAGCATCGACTTCATCGAGGAGGCTTTCTCGTGGTAAATGACATGTAACACGTCTCTCACTATCGGCATCTCGAGCTGCTTGGGTTCCGATGGTCAGTCTTCAAGGGTGCGAGTTCGTTTTGTATTTTGTGACCGCTCTGTTTGATTTGTGCATATTCTTTTCTCCTTCTCATACGACCGCTGCTCGATGTTTCTTGTAGATAGTTCCCTAGCCGATAGACACCGCGGCCTGACGCCATCTGATAGTCATGACTGGATAGATCGAGAATAAATGATACGATCTCATAGTAATGCTTCTCCTGAGACACTGCAGATGAAGCTGTCTACTGGCGCTGTGGCAGCTTTGTGAGATTTGTGAGACGACAAAGGAACTTGCGGTTGTAGATGCAGATGCTTTTCATCGTACTGAAATCTAGTGAGACCTGCTTGAACGAATAAGCCATGGGCATATCTGGGAGATGCAGAAGTTGAAGCAGCTAGGTAATGGGGTTCATTGCAACACAACAAAGGCAGATGACGAGCAGCTGATGCATATAATTACCTAGCTCACAGCCATACGAATCATGAGGTCTTGATAAGATCTTTCTCTATAGTTACACAGAGACAGTTGAGGGAACGTTTTGCGTATAGTTGTAGCCGGGATGCCACCTTGACGTGCCACTTCAAGGTGAGGTAGCACCCGTGAGCCTCTATTGGTTAAACCCTTCCACCCGCAGCACAAGGGGACAGGCGTCGGGTCCTACGGACAGCCTGTAGCCAAGGGTTTAGCGGGGTTGCATACGCCATACCTCATAGGCGATAGCAGACAACCCCTCGGAAAGATAAGGCGTCGGTACTGCAGCTCCCGAATGACCTCAACCAAGATTCCACCTACCACCTACCACACCAACGCACTTCTCCAACGTTGAACATCGCGTGAGGGCACCCTACACAGCCTTTCTTTCTCACGTTGCAACCGCTCAAACTGCTACGTATCTACCACGGTCTCTTAACTACTTAAGTAGTAGACCAAGTTCAAAGCCCGGCATTTTTGGTGAAATTCCAGTCTTCTCTACGCCATTACGTCTACCAAACAGCTTTGGTAAACTTCCCGCATCAACGTCTCTGGATAGCACAACCGGATCTTGCCTACTTCTTGGTCAACTCCAAACGCCGACCGCCCGATACTCTTAATTCCCTCGCGCCGACCCGAGCCAAGCGAGCAAGCGAAGCAAACAAAGACGGAATAGAAGAGGATCCGCCCGGTCTGCGGAGAAAAGACGAACTCGGTCACGATGGGGCTCGCGTACAACACGTACCTCAATAGTAATAAGATCTACGGCTGCAAGAACTGCAAGACCCATCTCGCCAACCACGAGGAAATCATAAGTCGAGTAAGACCTGTCCCATATTTCCCTCCATATATATATATACCTACCTACCTTGTTTTCTAGCTTCAACCCTGTCTGTCTTCATACCTTCCTTACTCAGCCCTATCTATTCTAGCTTGTTCCCTGTCCCTCGTCCCTTCCACCGTAAAGCAAACGTTTTTACTAACGGAGATCGACAAATTTAGAACTTCCGCGGACAGCACGGTAAGGCCTACCTGTTCAACGAGGTTGTCAACATCGACGCGGGCGAGGCGTCGGAGCGCAGCATGACGACGGGCCGCCACATCGTGCGCGACATCACCTGCAGGCAGTGCAAGGAGACGGTCGGCTGGAAGTACGATAAGGCGTACGAGTCGAGCGAGAAGTACAAGGAGGGCAAGTTCATCCTGGAGGCCGAGCTTCTCTGCAACGTCAGCTAAGGCTCGTCTCCCACCCCCCCTCCCCCGACTGAACGAAGTTCGAAACGAAATGGTGTTGGAATCGAAGTGGGCGAGCATAGGACGTTGGGAATGACGTTTGTACGGGTTTACGGCTTTGGGGTTCATGATGATTTGGTGTGTTGGGGGTTTCGTCTCGTCGGGTTGTCACGAGCAGCTCAGGGGATTGGCATGACGATGATGATGGGCATGGGCAGATTATGACCTGTGGACCCGTGTTTCTCCTGTTTTTGAGCGTAATGCATCGGCTGGGCGTTTCATGGACTTGCGTGTAGGATTGGTTTCGGTAGGTAGTTTTACAAAGGGGGTGGATGGTAAAGGTTCTCTCTCGTTAATAGGACCACTCTGGCATCCATAGGGCACGGGGGTCAGAATAGGTTGAGGTGTTTCCTATGCGGAAGAATAAGTTACTAGCAAGTAACTTATACTATTATCTGTCTCTTTACATATTGTCTGTGTCTGGGAAGCTAGGTCTCGTAGATGCTTGCAATGAGTGAGCTTGGATATCCAGCCCTTTAATACTCTTCCTAGCACCATCTTTTGAATGGTTCCCGTCTGATAGTTAAAGAGATAGGAGGATAATAGCCTACTGGTACTACTGGATCTTGTAGCTGAATTTCTAATACTGAAGTATCTAGTTGGTGGAAGTATCTTCTCAAGTTCGTGTATTTTCGTATTTATAGGACGAAGATAGATATATAGTAATATCTATAGGTAAATAGGCATGCATTACAAACCTACTATCCTGATTTGAACTAATATCAGGGAACGAGAAGCAATTTCTCATCTTCGAACTATGGTCAGTTAGCGAGTGGATATCATAGAGATAAGGCCAGTACCTATGATATGCTAGGGAGTTGATATTGTATGCAATCTTCACATGTCTATGGTGCCAGGCATAAAATAGAAAAGAGGATCATCAACTTGAATATTCTAGAGTATATCATCTTATTCCTGAATTGTGGCAGGCAATAAGAGCCTGGGGAACGGGGTATGGCTGGAAAACTGAACAGGGTCGAAGCAGCAAAAGGAGGAAAAAAAAAAAAAAAAGCCAGTAGATTACATGCCTCCAGCTCGACCTGAATCAACCTGTCTCACGTTTTACTTGCAAAAACGAAAAAGAAAAAGAAAAAAATAATAAAAAAGATTGCACCCACCGGGATTTGCACCCGGGTCTTTCCTTAACCACTCGACCATGGGAGAGGAATGAGCTAACTACTGCTCCATGGATGCCTCGTAAGCCTATCTGCTGGAAGGATGTGCTCCTATTAGTGACTATAACCTTCCACTTTTGTTTGGCAGGCCCTCTGGTTTGGTAACCCCCCCCCCCCCCCCCCAGAGGGAAGGAGCGGCAAACGCCAACTTTGGATGTGTCAGTCATATGGAACCCAGTCTGTCTGTAGCTACCCGTCCGAAGAGACATGGGTATCTATCAATCTCTCTACTACCATGTGATAACAAAACGCTCTCGCCAGAATTCATTTATATGATAGGTACTATGAAACCTCTTTGATGGCATCTAGGTGGGTAGCCATGCGCAAAGCTGGAGCTCGCAACATGACCAGGAGACCACGTAGACTTCAAGTCAAGTACTCAAGAGAGAATTGTACTATTTCCTGGCAAGCTCTCTTCAACGATACTGACACATCTCTGTCTCAATTCCCCCTTTCTAATCACCGTCTGAGTTTTTCCGGGGAGGCATGTGACAAGCACTATCCTTACTAGCAGGAAACCACCATATCAAACGCCATTGCCTAAACCCATCTCACCGACCATCTAGTTATAATAGGCCATGGAATCTCTCGATATATCGTCGCTTACATCATGCATACCTAGGCAGGGATCCTTCGAGCTCGGTGTGTGTAGGATTGGCTAGACTAATTGCTATACCCACCGAGAATGTTTGTGAAGACGAATCTATTCGAGACCGTAGTTCTTGTTCAAGCTTGCTCTTTACGGACTTGGCGGCCTCGTCAATGACTTATCACTCTTCAGGAGAGATGATACGATAGTAATGGGTCCATGGTCAGGAGTACCTAGAAGGAAGATTTCGCAAATTTCATCTTGAGATGCTACACGCAATCTGAAACTCCACGAAGCCACAAGCCACAAACCGATAGAATCATACAAAAGAGAAAGAACCCTGATAGACACGCGTATGTACAATGGAATGGAAGACAGAGATCACAGAACCAAAGAACGCCAGTCCCATGCAAGAATGTGTTCCTTCTTAAGCAAACTCCCCAGTCACTTCTCAAACAGTCCGATATGACCAACCCTAGCCGAGTGTACGTATCCTAGGTCAATCCCGAAAGGAATCTATGGTTCCCTAGCTATGCTCGATAGGCTCCTCGGGGAGGAGCTCTTCAACCTCCTCTCTCGGCTGCAGGAACTTGAAGGGAGGTTGGACGATGCCGTTAAACACGAAGGTGAAGTATACCAGTAGTGCGAAGCCCACGACTTGTAGCCACTTGAAAGTCTCCCAGCCAAGACCGAGCGAGACCATCCAGATAAAAAGCGTACGGCAGCTGTCGATGGTGGATCTGGCCGTGGAGCTGACGCTGCGGGTAACGGAGAGGCCGAAGAAGTTGAATCCACTTCCAAGCTAGTTAGCGTACTCCCTTAGAGTAAAATAGTCCAAAATCTAGACTTACCCAATGGAAATCATGATGAGGAAGCTTGTAATCCCGACAACCTTGTTCTCCGTCATCTGTCGGAAACCCTCGACCATGTCGAACATGCCGTAGCGGCCAGCGTCGGTTCGACCGACGGCCAGATGCAGCACCAGCATGCCGATCAAGGTGACAGCAAGACCGAACAGGCCCTCCCAGCCCACAACCTCGATGGGCTCAATGCTTGAACGTTCCAAGAGGAACTCCTCCAGGACAAATTGAGTGGCAGTAAAGATCTGCGCGCCGGCAATCAGGACAACGCCCAAGGCGGCACGAAGAGCCTCCGCAGTCGCAGCGTCCTCAGCGGCCTGGCTCGAGGTATCGGTAGCCTCGGCCTTCGCATCAGGTGAGATCACACCAGCAAGCCCAACAAGAGCAACACCAGCTACGACGCCAACCAACGAGATCCACTGGAACAGGTGTAGGTGGCGGCGCAGGAAGATAACACTAAACAGGCCAACGAACAGCACCAGCGCACCACGAGTCATCTGGTAGATCGAAGCCGCTACCATGAACAGACCGGCATTGACGAGTGTGGTACCGAGGATATCGCAGATAGCGGGCAGCGCAAGAAGCAGGATACCAAAGCCCTTCAGCAGGCCATCGGGGCCACCGGTGCGCTTAGCCGAGGCGGAGGGTCGAAGCAGCGCCTGCTCGGAATGGACGCTCGCGGCATGGTCATTCGCGTCCGCGTCGTCGTTGCTGACAGCCTGGTACCCGCTGGTCTTCCGGTTCGTGAAGCGCTGATATGCCGTCATCAGGCCGACGATGAGCCAGCATCCGACCTCGCCGACGAACATCTGCGCGGTCTGCAGCACGGGCTGCTCGAAGGTCTTGCGGTTCTTGGGGTCGGGGTCGTCGCAGTCTCGGACGCATTGGTTGTCCTGGAATGTGGCGGTTAGCGGGTAGCTATTATACTGGTAGGATAAGAAGGACAGGCGTACCTGGTACTTGGATAACAGCGTGTTGCATACTCCAGTGAGTAGCATCATGCCCACCAGGAAGGGGATGAGCGCCTTGGACGCCATCGTTGCGGATGTTTACCAAGGCACCGGCGGACGGACTCGTAGTAGTTAGAAAGAGATAAGCAATGACACAATTGAGAGAAGCCTACCCCTTTCTTTGATAAGCGACACAAGAAAATCGAAAGAAAGAAAACCTGTATATAGTGTTGGTTAGTAGTCGACGAAGCTTTGATGAGCTCCCGCCAGAGTTGAAGCTCTCCGGTGTTGGCAAGGAAGCAACGGTGTGAAAGTCCAGAGTTGCAGCCAAGGGACCCGTGTCAGGGTATCAGGCGTGGGCCGCGTTGGTAGAGCGATAAGTGTGTCGATAACGGCTGGATTGCGCATATCTTACATAATTCACCTTTTATAGCTGCCGCTTTACCCCTTACAGACCTACAGGTGTAGAAAGCCTAGAAAGCTGGGGACCAGAAAAAAGCTGTTCTCCGCAACGGTCAGCCGATTCGCCCTACGATACGTAGCCCGAGTCCTATTGGTCCAGCTAAGAAAACCCCAGATCCAACAGGCGGAACTTGCTAAAGGGTGGATACCTGGGGCCAGGTGCTAAAGGAGAATGGCATCTTGTGAGCATCCCTGAAATGCCATCACCTGCCAGCGTGTTCGGCCAGCGTATCGATGCAGAACGCATTAGCCCCTGACTGACGTCTACACGTAAGCCTCACTCTAGATAGACATTTTGCGAGGCATCTCATCTTTCTGTCTTACGGCGTTACGGCCCAATAGCTTCATGTTCTCTACGTTAATAGCGAGAACGGCTAATATATGAGGTGGCTTTCACAAGTTGCTTGCTAGGTTGTATTGGATATAGAAGCGAAAAAGTGCAAAAGAATTGGCCATCTGGGGAATCGAACCCCAGGGCCTACCTATACTCATAACCATACTAGTAAGGATACTGTAAGGATAGGTAGTATTCGCTAGGCCGCTCCAACTCGGCCCTATGGAGCAACAACAGAGAGGGTCTGTGAATATTGTAAGGTTAAGGGGACTTATATGTCTTTAGACCAGTCCTAAACTGAAAGTTTGAACGGCGGTTTCATATGAGAGTTTGTGCTGCTGTCTTGGCGAATTGCATTGCTTTGTCGTCGACAGAGATGGCGCTGGACCGGTATACTTCTAAAAGATTACATGCTGGTAAACATTAAGCGTGCTGTTATAGAAAAAACGAAAACGTCAAATTCAATCACAGAATGCCTGCCTTTCATTATCTGTTCCCAGGCTAGGCTTCTCGGATTTTCTGAATAACTTCCTTTCCTTCTTTTTCTTTTGCTTCTCCTTTTCCGCCTCAGGGTCCTTGTCCTTGATGTTATTATAATGAGGGATCCCCAGCTCTTTATCGCGCGCCAGACGTTCTAAATCCCCCTTATTCAAGGGAACGCCCTCAATGGCCTTGACGTGCTTGCTTTCGATCCCCATCATGATACCCGCGATGGCGGAAGCTATACATGCGAGGCAGACGAAGAGACCGGTCGACCAGCTGGGTCGGTCGTATCGATTTAAAGCCCACATAAATCCCGACAGAACACACTGGAGGAATGTGTTGGCAACGTTGAAATAGACAATAAAGTCCAATTTCCACAACTTGGTCGGAGGTGCTCGAATACCCGTTGGTGGCGCATCCGAGACGGTCTCTAGGGGGAGTGGAACAGCATCCACGTTGTAGCTTCCAACTGCCTCCTCAATGTTCTTCGGCCCCAAGTTTACGGGCAGTTGATCGGAACCCGCCAGACGGAACCAGCCTCGGTGAACACCAGCAAGCTTCCGCAGCGCATCGTGATTATGTTGTAGGCGGTACTGCAGCAGGAAGTACCAATCGCGGAAGCGCCACGGCGCAAGGCCAAACCCGGTCACGCAGAACAGCGCGTTCAGGATTTGCGAATCCGTCTCGATCCATATTCGGCGCGGAGAGTCGATGTGGTTACAATCGTACGTTCCGTTGACATAGCACATCTCCGGTGCTGCATTGCACAGCAGGAGGAAGAGCATACCACCCCATGCGATAACATTCAGGGAGTAGATGGTAAGGAAGAAGCCGAAGCCGGTGTTATAGAAGTTCCAGAAAGAGACGAGTCCCATTCGGATTTGCTCCTTGACGGGGTATTTAGGTGGAAAATGGTATCCGTTCGCGTATTCGTGTATCTGGACGTCGAGCGCGGCCGCGTTGGAGGTCAGCGCAGCACCTACGCCCTCCTGCGCCTGCGTTGCGGGGATCGGCACACGTTGGTTTAGAGATTCATTATGTTCCGTGGCGGTCGAGATCGTCGTCATCCGGTCGGCATCACCCTCCTTGGATATTCTCGGCGATTCTGACGGCATCGTGAGCTGACGCCCCTCGCGAGGTTCGAAAACCCGCTAGTTCGACCGGAATCTGTTCTTAACCGCTAGGCGATGTCAATGACGTTGGGATCGGATGGGAATGAGGTATTGCGATAAGGGTCGGCGGTTGGCAATTTGGAGTTGAAATCATGCGAAAGTAGCTAATTGAGCAATACCCAAATCACGTTCTTTGTTCGAATAATGCTGTCAAACCCTCCAACGGTGC